AGTCAACATAACATAACATATTATATTATATTCATATTAAACTATATAGGTCTTGAAATAGGATGTCTCACCATATAAGCTTCTTTGAGTTTTATTTAATAGGTAAAGATCTAATATTAGGTCTATGAAATTTTTTTGTCCCACGTAACAATTCGGTTCAAAGTTCCTTAACTTCTGTTCCTGTCGAGCAGCGCGAGGCAGGCGTCGACGCGTAAATTGCGCTGGCGATTGATAAGACCGGGGGTCAACCATCTATCAAGCTTTTTACCTTGCCAATTTGTAGCAAATGGACCAATATTGTTTTGATACTAACATCAAAAGCTGTTGCTACTTCGGCTGTAGATTGACTATAATCTTTTTTCTTCATCACCACATAGTATAAAACAAAGTCGTCCCGCTGTATCACTATCCGTTTGTAAGTAAGTTTCACTCCGTAAACGTTGTTGATGTTACCTCCCGTTTGTGCCGTGTTGGTGCAACAACGGAACTCATATTGCATAATTACACGAATTTTTAAAGTATCCATTATGACGAAAAATGTTTGAATGTAATCAAAATACAATGATAACCAATAAACAGATTTGAGTAAAAAAATTTCATGTTTTTAAATCAAAATTAATTTGAAGCAACGCAGCAGCCTCGGCTGTTGCACGAATGGGCAGGCCCACCCAGGTAAGTACCACGACCTCACAGAAGACCAGCGTAAAGTGAAAGTATGACAAATACTTTCGCGTTTCCTTTGGTGAGTGAGGTAGAAAGAGCCCAATTTTCAAAAGTTTGTCAACGCCTCTGTAACCCTCGGGTGTAGCAGATATCCATGGGCGGTGGTATTCACTTACCATCAGGTGAACTGTCCGTTCGTAAGGCAACTTTTCACATTAAAAAAAAATCACAGCCAATCAAAACATTTTTTTGTTTGAAATGGCCAGTACTGAAGAACGGCTATTTCATAAAAAACACCTATTATAAAGGCCATGACTATATTATTTTCAAAATTGTAAAATGTAGTTAAAGAATTTGTACAACAGCAATGGTAAAAAGTGTCGGAACTTTACCATTTTTATGAAAACCTTAATAAACCTTCTTAAAATTTAGAAATAAATTAATTGCGTCTCCTACTTTAATCACAATAATAAGATAACAAAATTTTGTATTAAGCTAGCCGAACCATGTTAGAAGGTAAACAGATAATTTTTAGATTTTTCCGATTTATGAAAAATCCATTAAGAATCGCGAAAAATATATGTTCAAGAAAATCAAAAACAACATTTATTAAAAAAGGCCTCAACACATCTGATACACTTTAGTTGAGTTACATCATAAAACGATGAGTATGTACAGTTAAAGAAAAGGGTCCTTCTAATCTACTGCGGAAAAGTGTATGAGGAAATGCAAGTTCAGTTTCCAGCCGACCTCTGTTTGCTCACTGCGACGGCTCATTCAGTCAGAACAAACAATACCGGAGATTGCGTACATAAGCGAATGTAGCGCTTAAAAGCACACGTAAGTAAAAAGGAAAAATTCTTCGATACTTTGGTCTAATTATTATTTGCTTTAAAATTTGTCCATGTATACTGGTTGAGATTGCCTTCATCTAATAATGTTCGAATATTTACTATAGAAAAACTTTTAGATATTGGTATTTCGAAAGAAGATTCTTTTGTAATTCTCATTTATAACTATGAAATAAAAGAAAATAGTACTTTGACAAAATCCTCCAATGGTAAATTGATTACACTTGTTGATGTACTACTGAGTATGGGAAACTAAGTTATTGAATTAACTCATGTATCGAATGATACTTTAAAAATAGTGTTCTAACTCACTTAGCTATACTTTAAACGTTGGACTTAAAGGGAGCCAGTTCTAGAGTTTATCTCCTTGTAATATTTTGGTTTAGTGCACCAAAGCAAACCCAAATGTTACAAGGGATATCTTATATTATCTTATAATTAGCTCTTGAGTATAAGAGCTTCCCTTAGCTCTTATACTTTCTTAAGCTTTTGCTAAGGGAAGCTGTTTTATACATATCCACCCGCTATGGAATGCTGAACGAAAGCGGGTGGATGCGCTGAGAGCGTTGGCTAGTTTTGAAGGGTGAACGGCGCCACTCCGTCGGCCGGCGCGCGGCGCGGTTGTCTTTGGCAGAGATCTACATTCCGTATTAAAGATCACTGACCGCTGACTGTACTGCAGATGCAGGCTAGATAGTAGGGACAATCTCGCTTAAGGACGGAAGGGACAGCTAGATGGTAGAGACAGTCACGTGTTGACTTATAATGGTTATCGAGTTATCGTTTCTATAGATGTAGATTATAGAGCTGAAATTTAACTAACTGGCAAAATTATTATCCATATAATAATTATTGAGTGAAACTATTTTCAGGAACTATGTCGCTTTTATTTAAAGCTTAATTTCCTTACGCACTCATGTGTGTAAGGAATTTTAAGTACCTATAGAGTACAATATCCATCTCTCAGCAAATCAATTGTGAATTTGCACTTTAATTACATAGGACAAATAAAAATATCAGCAGAAACCGCATGAAAGGACATACATAATGTATACCGAAAAAAAAAACACATAACACGGAATAAATATGCTGTTTGTCATCATACTTAAATGGCCGCAATCTTTACATCAGATGGATAGATCATAGACATATCCCTGCAAGATGCCACTGACTTCTAGTTAAACAATAGATAAACCACGAGGGAAAACACATTTTTTTATAGAAATATACATTAAAGCCAAGCCAAGTGGTGACCATTGTAATACCTCGAGAATCAGAGCTTTTTGCTTAGATCAGTCACTTAATTTTTTAATGTTAAAACTAGTGACTTTTTGAGTATTTAAATATATATTCGGATGTTCAACATTATAGTCTGACCCGAGACCATGAACGCTGTAAAGATTTCGACAACTCGGGAATTTAGGTTCAAAATAAACACGATATATCCGAAAAATTGTTTTATTTCTTTAGAAACAGATATGCTTAAGATTGTCCTTTTTAGAAAGTGCTTTAAGTTTGCACTATATTTTAGGTGCGGCGCTAAGCTTATCGTTGTTAAAAGTATTAGTCACAACTTTCGTAGCAAGAATTATTGGAAAACGTAACTCAAGTTCCAGAAAAATAAGTATACTACATTTGGAACGATGACTCGTAGCGACTGCGCTATGAAAATAATTACATAAAAGTTGAAAATTACACGAAGGTTACAGTTACGAGTACACTGTTCCTGTAGATAAATTATCAAAAAAAAAATTGGAGTTGTAGGATTGGAACCTGCATCTTCAAGGTACCGTAACCAAACGCTCTTATCACTGAGTGAAATGGCCGATATCCTCAAGATAATCCAATGCTCCAATGTAATCTTGAGTTTTTTTATGGGAGAAGATGCCAAGTGGTAACAGGCGCCCATGGACATTTGCAACACCCGTAGGGTTGCAAACGCCGGTCTTCTGGGAGGTCGTGATACCTCCCCGGACGGACCTGCCCATTCGTGCAACTGCGAACTGTTGCGTGGCCATACCACAGTAAGAGACTAGGACTAAAAGTTAATCAAAAAATGTACTATTATATTTCTTACTTTTTTGTTTCACAATGAGGAACGGAAATTAGACCCATAAATTGAATTAATTTTAGCAACCAAATCCTGACGATTTAAATACTCTTTTATTTTAATAAGTGAATCGTCTAGTAATAGATAACTTAAGTTAACCTTAACTTAAAATTGTTAGTAAATCGACGATACAACGGAATCAAAAAATTTCAAAGAATTTTTTTTCTCAATCCTGTTAGCTGTGTGCCTTACTGGACTTGTTTATTTTATGCTCGTCTGTTCGCAGGTGGATGGCACGAGGCCAAAGTCGCTTGTTTAATTCTATTTTTGCGCAAATAAAGTTGCTACTGAATTCAAGTCTGTCGTCACAGAATTATTTTGGTAGTGCAGTCTATTGAATTATATAAAAGATTTTTCTTGTATTTAGAACGTACCTACAAAACCGCAGTTTGAGATTATGAAACTATTATGGTATTGATAATAAGACCAGCCAAGTGCGAGTTGGACTCGCGCACTCGAGGGTCCCGTATCTATAAAAAGGGCAAAAAAAATTCATGTCTGTTGTAAGAGAGCCCCACTTAAATATTATTTAATTCTGTTTTTTAGTATTTGTTGATATAGCGGCAACAGAAATACATCACGCATCTGCAAACCAACAGGTATCGTAAATGACAACGCATCTAGTACAGTGAACGATAAAGGTAACTCCGACGTCGTCCTCCCCCTGGAGGTTGGGCTGGCTACCTCACTCGAGATACATCTGACGTATGTGCCGAAAAGTCTATCCAATACGCGCTGGAGGCCCCAGCCTGGAGCTAAGCCGAGAGCTGAGTGTTATATATGTGGTTGACAGCGAGAGAGCGTGGGGTGCTCGAATATTGCGAGGACTTTAATACTCGGAAGGAGGCGCGGACAGCACACCCGCACGCAATCTTCCCCCGTATACTGTGGTTGGACCGGGTGTATTGCATCCGAGAAGAGGAGGCCCAAGAAGGCCATAGTCGCGAAGGGTTCGCGAAAAATTACGTTTACGTGTTCCTGCGTCCCCGGCCAATGACAGAGACAAGTATAATGTGGGATTTTTAGTGGGTACCCGTTTATGACCGGGATTCCCACATACCCCGGCCACTCCCCTTACCCAGTGGCAGGGATCCATAAAGATCCATTAAGGATTTTTCCCACGTATAAAAGTATGAAAGATTACCGAGATAAGGTTCCGAGGCTTAATGATGAGGAAATACGGGAATGGTGGAAATTATACTTTGAATGATTGATGAACGAAGAAAGTGAATCAAATGCTAACTATGTTTTTCAATAAATTATTGTAGAGCAAGGCGATCTCGTACGTGTAGTACAAAAACTGGCTGATGAACTGATATAAAAATAAGGGTAATATACAGGACTACAACTACACTAGTTATAGTTGAATAATGCGCATGCCACGTAGTATGAAGACCTGTGACAAGGATATAGAAACACGTGCGAGGGAGGAATGTGATTTGACCCATAACACGGACAGAGCAGAAGATAGAAAGAGAAGATACAGTCTAGAAGAATGCCTTCGTAACCATTCGGTATGTCATATTGAAGTCCCCCTATCGCCTCGGCTGAGCACACCTTCTCCTTGTGGCTCTGGTGTACTGTCGCCCGCCTCACAAATGAAACGAGCGTGGAGTCGCGATATTTCCACCGACATGAGAGCATACAATGGCAAATACCACAAAGTTCAGTCATGAACCTTCTGACAAAATGCTTTCGACAGTTGTGACCTTAGGGTAAATAAATATTTCGGGACATATTTTCACACAACTTTATCTAGTCCCAAACTAAGCAGAGTTTATACTATGGATACTAGGTAACTGATAAACATAGTTAAACGTACTTTTCTTTTGTCAGTAAATAAACATTATACATTTATATAAACACCCAGGCACTAGAAAAACTACTAGATGTTTTAAATGATCACTCAATATTTTTCCAGTAGTGGGGATAGAACCCACACCCTGTGGCGCAATAGACAGAGTCACTATCCACTAGTGTTAATGTTTCTATAAATTCGTTAAAATGAACATATTAGGAGATAGTAATTAATGCGCAGTTGCATTTTAAATACATCGTTATTTATTCGAATATTTTATTATGTCTGATATATAAAACAGTTATTACCCACGTAATAAAATGCAATTATTACATATAATGTATTTTAAACCATTTTAAAATACATTTTATTTGTTAGCAAAGATTAAAATAAAGTTAATCGAGGCTTTATTAAGAAAGAAAACTCAATCATACTTCGAAAGCTTTTATTGAACAGAAAGCATGATAGAAATCTGAACTTGGAAACTTTCATTTACTAACATGACTTTATGTTAAATGTTTGCGAAAAATAACTGTTCAATATATTTCTAACATCTACATGTTTAAGTTGTATGTATATAATAACTTATATCATTATAAAACCTTTAAAATAATATGATAAATATATAAATAAGAATAATGCGATGAATATAATAAAATACCCACTATATTTTATTGTTCAAGACATTTCCAGCTATAATTTAAGTATCAATTACAGGTAGGTGTAGCATGAAGATAAAAAGATAATTCGAAGAAAAGAAATTTACATAATATTATGTACAGGTATAGAGTTTAATATTTCTGAGAGATAAAATGATTTATGAATTTTCTGATATGAAGGAAATTACTTGTCCCTCGTTCAATTAACATTATTTAATATTTAAAACTCCCACGTTCGCGAATACGTAAGCAACCCACTTACGTGAGTGAAATCGCATGTCGCTCATTGTTATTATTTATGATCAGCTCAAATCATGCCTATGCGCATACAGATAGCGTATTTAATTGTATTCTTCTGAGGGGACTACGCACTGTCCTGCCCTTAATAAAGTCGTTGAAAAAACTATACAAAGAAGTACCGAGTAGGACTAGTATTAAGTAATGGTTGGGGCGGTTGTGAGCACCCTTTAAATTGACCCAACCATTATATCAGTTTTGATAGACCAAGATCCTTGAAAAAGAACACCGATTCTCCCAAGGAAAATTCGCGACGCTATTGAAAATAAAATTAGCATGTTCTGCGTTGATTGACACAAAAAATAATAATTAAAAACCCGGATTAACAATGACACTCAGACGTCCGACGCCTCAGTCTCTCCTGTGACCATGAACGCTGTAAAGCGTTCGAAACGTCGGGAATTAAAACCTAATATAAATGCGATGAATCCGTAAACATAGTTTCATTTAGTAATAAAAATCTAGACAACATTACATAAAGCAAATTTGTTAGTAACGACTGACGTAAGTGTCAAATTGCTGTTAAAATAAGTGGTCATTTTAAAATCGGTACAGTTCAAAAGAATGATGAAATGGTCCAAATAACCACCAAAGAGATAGATGAGAGGGGTAGACACACAAAAATATTATTGGCATGTTTTGGGTTTCACTGATCCAAACCGACGGACATATCTACTTCATTTTTGTAGAATTATAAAACTACTGTGTCTACAATATTTGTAGGACAATAATAATTATTGTATTCTTTACTACCATAGGATAGCATCACGTAAAGTCGAAGGAAAAAGCAACTGAAATAGGGAAATGATAAACAGATACATACAATGAAATATGTAAAAAAAATTATTCAAGCAGAAATAAATTTAGCAGATTTTGGTTATATAAAGAAGTTTCAGGGATAAAATAAATTCACTATCCTTATCCAACGTGAACATCAAACCAAATCGAACGCAATAAATAAATAGAGAATTTCTTATAATAGAGTGCGAATTTATTTAATCATTAAACGAAACTAATTTTACGGATTTATCGCGTTTATTTTTAATTTTAATTCCCGACGTTTCGAACCCTTTACAGCGTTCATGGTCACGGGACAGACTGAGGTGTTAGACGTCTGATTGTCATAGTTAACCCGGGCTACCGTCAGTTTTTGAATTATTAATTTTGTGTCCGATCTATGCAGAGGGAGCTAATTGTATCTTGTCTTGCAGTAGTGGTTCGTTTGGGCCTAGATTTAATTTTATTGATGACAGGATCCCAAGCTGATGGTAGTACCCAACCTTCTTCTCTATTGAAATTAGGGTGTTTTTTAATTTCAATAGCCTCGCGAATCATCCTTGGGAGGAATCGGTGTTCTTTTGCAAGGATCTGTGGTTTGTCAAACCTGAAGTAGTGGTTGGGCCTATTCAAAATGTGCTCACAAACTGCAGACTTGTTCAATCTATTGTGTTTTATGTCAGCTATATGTTCTTTCACGCGGGTTTTTATTGCTCTTTTCGTTTGACCTATGTAAGAGAGCCCACATTCACAGTCAAGTTTGTACACTGCTGGATCTTGCAGAGGGATATTACACTTGACAGATGGTAAAAACTGACTAATCTTCTTCAGCGGCTTGTAGAATGTATTAATTGAAGCCTGCTTTGTGCCTGCGTGACCATGAACGCTGTAAAGAGTTCGAAACGTCGGGAATTAAAATTAAAAATAAACGCGATAAATCCGTAAAATCAGTTTCATTTATAATGTATAATCGCGTAAATACAATAAATTATTATGTAAACCAGTACGGACTGGAAGTTGCAAATAAAATTCGCGGTCTGGAAGATCTGAAAACTAAGCGCGCAAGATATATAACATCTTTAAATTTCTTGAAGAGATGCCGAGACAACAATCTCATTCCTACGTGTGTCAAAATCTCATCGAAGAAGGACATTCGAGGAAGCGCGAAGATCTTAAACCAGGCCAGTATAAAATTGTTACGTAGGGTAATTCGTCAAAATAGATCCGATCTATATGTCATTAATTCTGCCATAGATAATTCATCCAGTCAGCTTAAAACAATTTTAACGGCATTTGATTACCAAAACTGCATGTATACATTAAATCAGCGCGAAACAACTAAATACAAGCAATGCAAAAATAAACTTATTGAAAAATATCATAAATTAGTCAACAAATCAAATGCCAAACGATCTTCGCAACGCATGAACGAAACGCAACCGTTGACCACAGACACAGAGAATAGACATCGCGCGGTCTATAATCTGTCACAACAAACACTGGATGAATCTACTAAGAAGGTGTTATCGAAAGGTTTAAATTTCGCAATAACGCCGCGAAAAATTCCGTACGAAGAAATAATCTGTAGTGTCGAGGACTGCTTATATAAAAATAACATCGGTAAGGAAGATTTAGAAGGTATACGACAAGATATTTCGTCCTTATTACGTCGAAGTTCGGTACCGAAGTCTAACCTCCCTAAAGATGATTTAACGCGTTAAACAGCTTACGCAACAACAAAGATTTAACTGTTCTCCGCGCAGATAAAGGAAATGCTACGGTGGTTATGAAAACGTCGGATTATAATTTGAAAATACAAGAACTGTTGTCGGATGTAAGCACGTATAAAAAGGTCAAAACAGACCCAACCACTAAAACGCTTAAATTAACTAGCGATCTCATTAAAAAATACTCCGAAAAATTAAATCTAGACGTGAAATCGATGACACATTCATGTGTTAAACCCCCTAAATTGTATGGGTTGCCTAAAATACACAAACCAGACATACCATTACGCCCTATTGTAAGCCAGATCGACTCACCAACTTACAGACTGGCTCAACATCTAGTACGAATTCTCTCACCGCTGAGAGGACACACAAGGGCATACACAAAGGATTCTTACCATTTTGTTAGTGAGATAAAACAACTATGTCTTGCTGACAATGAAACAATGGTCAGTTTTGATGTACAGTCTTTATTTACATGCCTACCATTAGAAGACTGCATCTCAATTGTAACAAGAAAGCTAAAAGAGAATAACATGCCGGAAGAGTATGCATTACTACTTAAACATTGCCTAACATCCGGCTATTTGCTTTGGAAGGAGGAATTTTACATACAGATAGATGGTGTAGCAATGGGCTGCCCAGTATCTCCCATTGTCGCTGACATATTTATGGAAGACTTTGAGGAGAAGGCCCTTCGCACAGCTCCCATTTATCCAAGGTTTTACAAGAGGTATGTAGATGACACCTTCACCATTTTACCAACAAGTAAAGTTAATGCATTTCTAAATCACCTTAACTCAGTAAATTCCAAAATACAATTCACTAGGGAATTAGAGCATAATAACTCTTTAGCTTTCTTAGATGTTTTGGTCATCCGCAATCCAAATAACACTGTAAGTCACACTGTGTATAGGAAGGCAACCCATACAAATAGATACCTAAACGGTGATTCTCACCACCATCCATCCCAGTTAGCTACCGTGGGTAAATCTTTGTTTCAGAGAGCACAAGGGATCTGTGACAAACAACACCTGGCCGCTGAGCTTCAACATGTCAAGCAAGTTCTGCATGACAACAAGCTTCGAGCACCGCGCCTACGTCACAGTGACCGAGTGAAACCAGCCACAGTGGAGCGAGTACCTGCTGTTCTACCATACGTCAGAGGAGTCACCGACGAGATTAGCTATATCTTAAAGCAGGCTTCAATTAATACATTCTACAAGCCGCTGAAGAAGATTAGTCAGTTTTTACCATCTGTCAAGTGTAATATCCCTCTGCAAGATCCAGCAGTGTACAAACTTGACTGTGAATGTGGGCTCTCTTACATAGGTCAAACGAAAAGAGCAATAAAAACCCGCGTGAAAGAACATATAGCTGACATAAAACACAATAGATTGAACAAGTCTGCAGTT